TGTAATTGCTCACTCAGGGAGCTTATGATCAAGAGCCAGCACTCCTGGATTTCCCTCCTTTGGATTCAGACAGCCTAAAAATATAGTAGGGACACTTTTGGTGTTCATTTCTGAGCTTTTCCTTTTGAGCCATATCAGGAAATGAAAGGGCACAGAGAAAAGAAAAAACATTCCCTAAACAGTGTATCTCTGAAGCCTCAAATGCATTTAAATTCTGGCTAAATGTAATGTTTTCCTCTCTCCATCTTCTAGTATATTCCACATAAGTATTTTTAGTTCTGTTCAAGGTTCTGGGATGGCGTTCGTATGTGGCCTCAGTTCTGTTATTTGCAGTCATTTGTTTTTCATTCTTGCACAATAATTTGTCACAATCACGTTTTTATGTTCCGAACATGTAAGAATTTTTGTCTCTGGAAAACATATTTTAGAACTTTTTCCTTTTGAAACTGCAAGATATGTTTTACAGTTATATATTTCAGCTCTGTTTATCCTATAATCGTGCCTGAATATTGGCAGAATTGCCATTTCAAAAGAGAGAGACAGAGCTACCAAGTAGTTATTTGGTGGCAATTTCCCAAAAGGTTTTATTGAATAATTTGTCTTTTTCATTTAATTCAATCAACTCAACTATTAATGTTAGAACTGATGAGGCTTCTGGGGTATTTTGGTTGGCATATAAATAGAGGCATCGCTATGTTTAAACAATGCTTTCCTTTGGAGATAAAATTATTATGGGCTGTTCAATTTGAAATGTATTAATGTGGAAATGGTTTCATTGACCCATCTGTATCTTCACTCCATCCTCCATTGGGTTAATAACACACATCATTTTTTAAAAGAAAGCATCCTGGTTTTAAGTTTGTGGCTATAACAGATTGAAGCTGGGATATTGTCCACATTACCATCAACCATCTAATATAATTGACAATAAAAATGTCAGTACCAGACTTCAGTGACATTCTGATTGTCCACCTTGCATCGGCTTTCAGTCTGGTCCCAGAAAGAAGGACACTGGCTAATGAATCAAGATTTAGAATGGAAAAAGTATGAGCATCTGGGGACCTCATTTATTTATTCACTTAACATATACTTATTGAGAAATTAGTATGTACTCAGAGCTATGCTAAGCACTGGGGATACAGAAGTAAGTAAGACATTAAGAGGGTATATCTCCTATTTAGTGTCCTTACCATAATAAAATTTTTTTAAAAAAAGAACTCAACCCAGGGGAGCCTGGGTGGCTCTGTCAGTTAAGTGCCCAGCTCTTGGTTTCGGCTCAGATTATGGTCTCCGGGTCATGGGATCGAGCCCCGTGTCGGGCTTTGTGCTCAGTGAGGAGTCTGCTTGAGATTCTCTGCCTCTCCCTGCTCCCTGCTCATGCTCTCTCTCTCTCTCTCTCAAATAAATAAATAAATAGAACTCAATCCAAAGAAAGAAGAAGTGAATAAGACATAAATGGAAATATTTATTTCCTACTAAAGAGTTAGCTCTATGAGGACAAAGATCTCTATTCATCTGCTATATCCTTAACAACTGCCATTTATTTTTTAAAGATTTTATTTATTTGTTTGTTTGAGAAAGATAGAGCATACACAAGTGGGGGGAGGGGCAGAAAGAGAAGGAGAGAGAGAGAATCTCAAGCAGACACCACACTGAGCATGGAGCCCAACGCGGCACTGGATCACACGACCCCAAGATCATGACCTGAGCCGAAACCAAGAGCCCAATGCTTAACTGACTGAGCCACCCGGGCTCCCCAACAGCTTCATTTAATAACTGGAAGTCCAACCCCAAATTGGGTCTGACTTACTGTCTCATGAAATAGGATTAGTAGAAGAGCCAACCTCAAAATTTTTCTCCCTGTATGACATACATGAGGAATGATATCCACAGGAACACACATAGGTAGGCCTTTTCTTCCACTGAAAAAAGATCCCTAGAATGTAATTGAGTGAGAGTCAAGTTTATAGGGATAACCTTGAGTACTTTGTAATGTTTTAAAAAGTAAATCATCTGGAATCTGAAATTTCTGATGACACGTCGCCAGTGATGCTGTGATTGAGACTCCATATGGAAAGCCACTGTGGTGTGCCACCATGCCTTGACAGATCTATTTGATGTTCAAGTACTTTGAGGGAAGGACAGTTGCTTGAAGGATTTGTCACTTGTTGCACTCTACCCACTATGTGATTACTGCAAAGACAGGTCAGGTTGAAAGGCCCACAAAGAATCATTCCTTGAGATTGTTATTTTTAAAAATTTTAGCCCATGGGAATTAAACAGTGGATTGATCTGATTTCTAAAACCAAATATAGTGATTGATTTGTCCTAAAATGAAAAATAACCAGCTCCTGCTAAATGAACTTTGTTGTTAAATAATCAAATAAAAGAAGAATAGTGTTCTGCAAAAAGAACAGATTGGAAGACCTTGATGTACCCACCACTAGCTGTGAAAGAGTTTGGGTAAACCTTTTAACCTCGCTAGACCTCTCTAAGTCCCATTTATAAAGTGTTGCAAATGATACTTGTCTTACTGACCTCTGGAGTTGCCATGAAAATCATTTGAGGAAAGGGATACGAAAGCTCTGTTTATTATAAAAGTGCTGTGTATTTTTGTATTCTTAACTCATTTGTGATGTCACTAGATGTCACTTGAAAATTAGTCCGCAAACTGATCTCACTGATGATAGAAGCGTAATTGCCCTATGACCAACCCGCTTTGTCCCTACCAAGCATTCCAGACATTTCAGTGCAGGAACAAGGTCTATGGGAAAAAGTCAAAAGGAGACTGATCAGAGGAATTCCACTGGCCCTTCCCAGGGCCCTGTACAAAAAATGGTCCCCCGTGCGTTGTTATTTTGCTGTTTTTGCCGATGTCCACAGTTTCCAAGACAATAACAGACTGATAACTGGGTGATGATGAACAGACAGAGTAAGTGTGATGATGTTATACCAGTTTTCTAGTGCAAAGGACTTGGCATCTTATCCGTGGGACTGTGGCCTCCACTGGCTACTCTTTCAGCCGGATGTGCAAACAATTAATGCTGAAGCTGATTTTCTTTAAAATGCTGAGGAATAACATCAACCAGTGATTTTTTTCAGAGTTTCACCTTTTGTTACACGCGTTAGACAAGATGATTCTAGGTTCTGCTGTAAGCCCCAAGTCCTCCTGCTGCCCAGATTCCCTATGTCAGCATTTTATCCTTCACACCAACTGAGCTAAAGGCTCTGGATTAGGTCTCAAGCACGTAGCTCTGGGGTGGAAGAGAGTGGTGGGTAGTGCTGGCTGGTTAGAAAGTAAAGAAGAGGAACAGGATCATTCCACTTTGAGTATTATTTTGCTTTGTGTTTTTGCTCATCTAAGCAACTGGCCTTAAGATGAGCAAAATACAGAAATATAATATGTAGCCCTGTACTTAGGTACTCAAATTTCAAGCAGCAATCAAATGAACACTAGAAGAAGTTTCAAGAATGCTTTAAATAAACAAGTACATATTATATAATAGGAACACAAAAATCAATTCACTGAATCAATCAAGTATAATGAGTTGCCTGAATTGAATAAATAATCCAATTGCTTGGATGGCCTGTAGTCTTAAGTGGAAAGTACTGAATTAGGATACTGCTTCTTTGTGAATATCCAAAATTCCTGAAGACCAACTTCATGGATAGACTGTCAGTAAATTGAGTCTACTGGAATTAAAGGGATTCAGTCATGAGCATTCTAATCTTTGTAGTTGCTTCTCTCTATATGTAAGAAGCTATACACAGTTTCCTTTTGTGTATGTGTGTACGTGGTAAGAACATTTAACATGAGACGTACCCTTTTAACAAATTTTTAGGTGCACAGTGGTGTATTATTAACTGTAGGCACTGTGCTGTACAGCAGATCTCTACAACCTATCCATCCTGCTGGCAAGAATGTAGAAAAAAATCAGAGCCCTGATAAGAAAATAAAAATAGTGCAGCCACTTTGAAGAAATGTCCTGCAGTCCCTCAATTAAAAAATTACCATATGACCCTGCAATTCCACTTCTAAGTATATACCCAAGAGAAATGAAAAAATACGTCCACACAAAAACTTGGACACAAATATTTATAGCAGCATTATTCATAATATTTAAAAGATGGAAACAACCCAAATGTTCATCAGTGGATGAATGGATAAACCAAATGTGATATAGCCATTCAGTGGAATATTATTTGGCCATAAAGTTAAGGAAGTACTAATACCTGCTACCATATCGATCACCTTGGAAAACATTGTGCTAAGTAAAAGAATTCAGTCACAAAAGACCACATATTATATGATTCCATTCATATGAAATGTTCAGAACAGGGAACTCTATAGAGACAGAATATAGATTAGTAGTTGCTTTGGTCTGGGGGAGGTAAGGGAGACTGGGAGGAGAGTGATGGCTTGGGGAATAGGGTTTCTTTTTGGGTGATGAAAATGTTCTATATTGATTTTGGTGTTGGTTGCTCAACTCTGAATATACTAAAAACTATCGAATTGTACACTTGAGATGGGTGACTTGTAAAGTATGCAAACTCTTTTTTTTTTTAATTTTTTATTCTTATGTTAATCCCCATACATTACATCATTAGTTTTAGATGAAGTGTTCCATGATTCATTGTTTGTGCATAACACCCAGTGCTCCATGCAGAATGTGCCCTCCTCAATACCCACCACCAGGCTAACCCATCCCCCCACCCACCTCCCCTCCAGAACCCTGTTTGTTTTTCAGAGTCCATCGTCTCTCATGGTTCATCTACCCCTCCGATTTCCCCCGCTTCATTCTTCCCCTCCCGCTACCTTCTTCTTCTTCTTCTTTTTTTTTTTTCTTAACATATATTGCATTATTTGTTTCAGAGGTACAGATCTGAGATTCAACAGTCTTGCACAATTCACAGCGCTTACCAGAGCACATACCCTCCCCAGTGTCTATCACCCAGTCACCCCATCCCTCCCACCCCACCCCCCACTCCAGCAACCCTCAGTTTGTTTCCTACAATTAAGAATTCCTCATATCAGTGAGATCATATGATACATATCTTTCTCTGTTTGACTTATTTCACTCAACATAATACCCTCCAGTTCCATCCACGTCTGCAAACTCTATCTTAATAACACTATTCTTTTAAAGATAAAATAAGATAATACTTGATAAAAAATAGATTCTCAATTTAAAAAGCATAGAAGCCATACATGGACAGGAGAGAGGCAGGAAGACCGCATTTGTTGGAAAATTAAATATACATAAAATTAAGTGCACTGTTATTCATTGGAGCCCAAACATTTAACATAGTGCCTTATAAGCGATAGAACAAACATCAGTGCTTGTTGATAATGATAATGATGAGAGCAACGATGGTGGTGGTGATGCTGCTGCAGGCAGTGACAACAGCCAAGCCAGCTGCCTCTCCACAGTCTTTGGACTATTTATTTAATATCTGCATCATCAGGTCTTTCGTAATGAACGGTAGTTATATCAAAGTCCAGCTGCAGGTATACCAGGATCCTGTAAAGAGAAAGTTACATTTTTCTCAGGAGTTAATGTCTTGTATGTTTGTAGCCACAGGAAGCTTATCAAACACTGACGTCAGCTGCTTTCCCATGAGAAGTCTAGAAATTTCATAATGCCATAAATGACTTTCTCTTTCCTATTTGCTTCAGACAAGTAGAGAACTTTTCATAATGCTTAAAAATAAACATCTGACCTTCACCCTGCCATGGATACATTCTTACTGCTTCTCCAATCAGAAATTATCTTGCCTGTAAAAATCCACTCTCATTCTTCTGTTAACAATTGAAAGATTTTGGCCAGTACAAATAGCATCATGGATTATTCTTAATTCATTAACTGTTCAAGGAAAAATAGGAAGCCTGCAGCAAACACACTGTTTAAAGACATCAAGGCCCTCCCTTCATACTATTATGTAATCTTGTTCTGTTCCATTAAGAATTTTTTTCTTCTTCATAGTTGTACAAAAACGGCTCCTCTGAGAACATATATCTAAGCTATATCCTTTGTGTTCCTTGAAATTTTAAGGGAAATTCAACAAAATTCTATGCCACTGATGGTATAGAAATAAGCAAAGGGTTCATTTGATTCATTCTGCTTTCCAGATACAGAATAACAAGGGAGGAGGAAAAGAGAGGAGGTAAGCTCATTAGGGGCCCATAGCATTCTGGGTACAATAGTAGGCTCATTAAATGCTTTCTCATTCATTTATTCCCTCACTCCCCCAACACACTTTTATGGAGCATATGTTATATGCCATGGTATATGCAAAATGCTTGGGGTAGAATTACCGATAAAGACCTTGTCCTTGCTGTCAAGAAGCCCGTCCACGTGCAGTGACAGTCCACTGTGACAATACCATTATAGAGGCATTGACAAAATACTGTGGGACACAGAGGAGGAAAAACCCTCAAGGTAGTTATTATTATTCTCGTTTTTTTGAGTATAGTTGACACACAATGTTACATTAGTTTCAGGTGTACAACTTAGTGATTTGGCAAATTTATACATTATGCTATGTTCACCGCAAGTGTAGCTACTGTCTTTCCCATTACATCACTATTACAATATCATTGACTATATTCCTTATGCTGTGCCTTTTATTCCCATGACGTATCTGTAACTGGAGGCTGTGTCTCCCTCTCCACTTCACCCATTTTTCCCAAACTTCCTCCCCCTTCCCTCTGACAACCATCAATTTGTCCTCTGAATTTACAGGTCTGATTTGGCTTTTTGTTTGTTTATTCATTTGTGGCTTTCTTTCTTTCTTTTTTTTTTTTTTTTTTTAGGATTCCACTTATGAGTGGAACCATGTGGTATTTGTCCTTCTCAGTCTGACTTCTTTCACTTAGCATCATACCAACTAGGTTCATCTATGTTGTCTCACATGGCACGATCTTATCCTTTTTATGGCTGCGTAATATTCCTGTGTCTGTGTGCATGCGCATGCATGTGTATGCACCAAATTTCCTCATCTATTGATGGACACGTAGGTTGTTTCCATGTCTTGGCTCTTGTAAATAATGTTGCAATAGCATTGGGGTGCCTATATCTTTTCGAATTAGTGTTACTTCTTTGGGCAAATACCCAATAGTAGAATTACTGGATCATATGGTAGTTCTACTTTTAACTTTTTGAGGAACCTCCACACTGTTTTCCACAGTGGCTGCACCAATTTACATTCCCACCAGCAGTGTACAAGAGTTCCTTTTTCTCCTCATCCTTGCCAACACTTGTTATTTCTAATCATTTTGATTTTAAAATAAGTAACCTATATCCAACAAAGAATTTCCTTAAGGTCATACCTCTATTATGACCCCACAGGCTGTATTCTCTCACAATTCTATGCTGCTTTCAGGGAAAGACCGATGTCCAACCCAACTGAATGGTTTGAAGCTTTATCAGTCCCCAATGCGGTAAATCTGTTAGTTGCAGAATGCCAAGAGAACTTTTACTTTCATTGAATCATTGACATTTTCTTGAATTATATGAACAATTTCCTTAGTTTCTTGCTTTATTTAACCTGCTTGGCTAAATAAATTCTTAACATGGAATTCTGTTAATGCACCTTGTCTCTCTCATCTACTGATTTATATGAATATCCTTATATGTCCATATGCATAATTCCATAGTAACATGAAAAATGCATCTCATGAAAACCAAGAGACTCTCCCACAGACATAACAATTTACACTGAAATACAAGTGTACTGTGGACAAATATTACTCAAGATACATAGGCAAAAACTTAAATGGGAAACATATGATTTAAATAAGAGGAAACCTGTGCAAGAGCTTGATGCACATGTGCACCACTGGAGGTAGATTTGGGAAGGTGGGTGGTTGGAAGCGAATAGGAGAAACAGTGTGGTTAGCGAGCAAAGGGTTGAATGGGCATGAAGTTTCACCACATCTTAACATGATAAGTAGCCCCTGTATTTGAATAGCTTTGGTATGGGCCACTTGCAAAAACATTCAAACTTTCCCTTCTAAGATATAGTAAACCAAAATATATCTATGGAAAGTTCAGTAAGTCATTGGTAAATAATCCAGTGTTGACTTTTAATTTAGAAATAACTGGCCAAATTGATCCCAGCCTTTCCGACTACAGTATTCCCCCTACAGAGTACATTGATTTGTATTACCTTCTTTTTTTCTCTCATTGTTTGTCTTTCTTTTTGTTATTTTATTTTCCTGCTGGTATAATATATGATCAGAAGTATTGAACTTTCATGATTTTATATATTTTGAGCTCAGAAATTCCCTTTAGTTGTCATCTTTCCCGAGTGAGGCTTCATCTTTTTTCTTCACATGTTATAAAAATAATCTTTTTATTGATGTATAATGTACACAAAAGTGTACAGGTCATAATTGTACAGCATGATGAATTTTCACAAAATGAATATAATGGTATAGTCCCCACCCAGATCAAGAAACAGAACATTACAGGGCGCCTGGGTGGCTCAGTAGGTTAAGGGTCTGCTTTCGTCTCAGGTCATGATCCCATGGTCCTGGATTGGGCCCTGCATCAGGGTCCACGCTTGGTTGGGAGCCTGCTTCTCTCTCTCTCCCTCTGCCCTTACCCCCTACTCGTGTGCATGTTCTCTCTCAAATAAATAAATAAAATCTTAAAAAAAAAAAAAAGAAACAACATTACTAGCACCCGAAAAACCCCCCTTGTGCCCCCTTTTACAGTCAACCTCCTCCCCTTACCCCCACTGCCTTAGGATAACTGTTATTCTGATTTCTAACACCAAGTATTAGTTCTGTTTTTTAATTTTATGTTAATAGAATCCTCCTGTGTGTGTGTGTGTGTGTTGTAAGAGACTTCTGTTATTTGACATTATGCTTCTGAGATTCATTGCCTGAGCAATACTTAGATCATTCTAATAGTTATACAGTATTTCATTGTTTGCCTGCCACAACTTATCCACTTTACCATTGGTAGACAATGAGGTGATTTCCTGTTTGTGGCTATTAGAAAAAGTGCTGCTATGCGCATTCTTTCTAGTTCGTCTTCTGATGAATATATGCATGGATTTTTTTTAAAGATTTATTTATTTATCTGAGAGTGAGGTGTGTGTGCAAGTGGAGGGAGGGGCAGAGGGAGAGGGAGCAAGAATCCTCAAGCAAACTCCCCACTGAGCGCAGAGCTGATGCAGGGCTCAATCACAGGACCCCAAGATAATGACCGGTGCCGAAATTAAGAGTCGGACACCTAACCGACTGAGCCACACAAGCACCCCTGGATTTTTGTTGTGTACATACCTAGGAGTAAGATATCTTGGTCACAGGATACACAAATATTCCATTTCGGCAGCTGAAACTGCCAAATATTTTTCCTAAGTGATTGTACCAGTTTACGCTCCCACAGCAGTGCATGAGAGTTCCAGTTGCTCACCAACACTTTGAATTGTCTGTCTTTTGAATTTTAGCTATTCTAATGGTGTGTGGTTTTAATTTGAATTTTTCTAATGATTGAGATTGAGCGCTTTTTCATATGCTTATTGGCCATTTTAGTATCCTCTTTTGTGAAGTGCCTATCAAACCTTTACCCATTTTCCTATTGGGTCATCTATCTTTTTCTTACTGATGTGTGGGAATTCTTTATATATTCTGGATATAAGTCCTTTGTCAAATATATGTATTGCTAATATTTTTTTCTCAACCTATGGCTTGCCTTTTCCCTCTCTTTATGGTTCTTAATTTTAATACAGTGAGATTTATCAATTTTAATGCTTTATGGTTAGTGATTTACAAAATCTTTTCCTATCTCAAGAACAAGGACATATCCTTTATTTCTGAAGGCTTTTATGTGTCAGCTTTCACATTTAGATCTACACTCAATCTGGAATTTTTGGAGGGCGTGGGGTGGAGGGTATGGTGTTAAACAGAGGTCAAGACTTAGTTTTCTTTTTTTCCATATGCATACCCAGTTGAAGTGCTGGATGATGTTGCTTTCCTCCAGATGGGGTTAACCTATGTTCTGGTAGTTTGATAGATTTGGGGAGTTCACTTTAGCTGAATTAGGGCTGAGGTGAATTTGTATCACTCCATGGACCTTCTGTCCCCTCTCTGTGGGTGAACTCTCCAAGGGTCCTATTGAGATTGTGTCCCCAGACACTTTCTTCTTTTTTTTCCTTCCTTCCATTATTTTAATCAAAGCATAATTTACGTATAGTAATATTTACTCCTTTTAGTAGAGTTCCATAAGTTTTGACAAACGCATACGGCTGTGTAAAAACCACCACAATTAGAATAGAGTAGCTGTCCAGTCCAAAATGTTTCTCCTTCTTGAAGTTTTTCCTACTCAGCTCTGGGCAGCTGCTGAAAACTGTGCTGTGCAGAAGTATCCTGCTTGGTTTCTTGTTCTCTGTCATGTTTTTGTGTCTTAAGGATTTAGCAAATGCCTTGAGGGAGAAATCACTGAATGTGAGGCCACTTTTCCAGGCCTTCTTTCTCTCCAGGATGTTGGCCCCTTAAGTCTTGGTTACTGCA